GTAAGCAGTAAGAGGTTACACGATGTCCAAACTTGCCAGAATGCATCACAACACACAAAGGATATACTGAAGGGAAGTCTTTAGTGGCTGGGAGTATGAGCCATTGCACTAATGTGACTGTGGAGAACCTGAGCTGGGGAATAGAGTGTTCCTGGAAGGAAAAGATGAGAAATTGTGGTGCTTCATAGAAGTGTGTGGTGAAAAATGAACAGATCTATTATGGCGCTTATTATGGTTAAGTAAATACAAATGATGTGGTACTGAAAATGGTTTATGTTACAGGAACAGTGATGTCTATGATTTTGGAGAGGGCATGGAGTTCACCACATTAGTCTCATCCCAAGCCTACCAGCACCTTTCATTGGAGCTAGAGTCAAAATAATTTCTAACCATGAATATGCAGAAGGAGCTATTTAGATATGAAAGATGACCCATTGAGGGGGGTCGGGGAAGAGGGAACACTGCATCTGCTATGTTTCAACGAATAATTGTTCAGGTACTGCAGGGGGTCAATAGTGTTGTCTATTATTTGGATGGTATACAAATAACAGAGAAGAATTCAGAGGAGCATTTACAAAAGCTAGAGCAGGTTCTAACCAGGTTTTAAAGATGACAAAGACAAGATGACTGCAGAGCCCATGTGACACAGAACCTTTCACTTTGGAAAGGCTTTTTAAAACTCATATTTTATACAGCATCAATAACATTATATCAACTTTTTTAGTTGAAAGCCCTATATTTGGGACTTAATGTAAGGCCTCACTTTGTCTTATATGCCTTTATTATGTCCATAGGTAAAAATCAGGTTTAAAGCTCCTCAGCATTAAGGTCGCTAGGCGTGATAGTAATTAGTTCATGGAAAACATCCCTGATAGGAAACTGAGGTCAAATGTAAAGAATTTGTACATTTAGTTCCAGAGCAAGGTAGACCATTTCCCAGTTAATAAAATAATTTTTAAGGCTAAAATAACTGTGAAAATAAATTTAAGTGAAAACATAGGATACATATATCTTTACGCCTTCCAGCTACTCTCGACATTGCTGCCTAACTGAAGGTTAACATTTCTCCCAGCTTAGTGTTAAACACTAGAGCAAAAGTAATAGCTATAAGATCACAATAACTATTGGCACAAGAAAAATGGTTATAAACTGGGCACAAATAATGTTAGGCTGGAAATTAGGTGATTTTTAATCATCAGAGGAGTGAGGCTCTGGAACAGCCTTTCAATACGAGTAAAAATCCAAACTAGTTCTAGTCGGAGCTTGATAAGTCTGGGAATGGGAGCACATGATGTAGTTCCCTAAGCAGGAGTCTGAACTCAGGAACTCAGGTCCTTTACTGTCTTATGCTCTGTCTTCCTGTGAGGCCCTGATACAACACAGCACTTTCATATGCATGGAATCTAAATGACTTAGAAAGTACTTCAGGGAGCCTTACTAAAAGGCAAATTACTGATGACTCATTTCCCTATAGGACTCAGAATTGTATGATGCAGAAATTCCAGTAGCTGCTCTATGAATTTCAGAAAGGGATAGAAGTGTGTTGCATAGGTTGTTTACTTTTCAGTAAATGATGTGTATATACATGAAAAGAATAGACTGTATGAATTATGCTATACCTAATAATATACTTAAAGGAGGTGTGTCTACATGTGCGTATTATTGTAACACAATAAACTCCGGTGCTCATCATGATCAAGTTTATTGCTCCCAGTTGCCATGTTTACACATGCATCTGGGATCACAGCACATTGAGCCAGGTTGGAGCAGCTCAGGGCTGCTTGCCAGACCCTGGACAGTCCTTGACTCAGTGTTGTAGCCACTAGCCAAGCACCTTCTCTCTTTGTCCGACCCCCTGGCTTCCCCTGCCTGGGAGCCTTTTTTCTTCCTGTGGCTGCTAATTATCTCTCTCAGCTGGCTCAGTCCCCCTGAGCAGTCTGTACTGAGTGTTACTACCTGCAGCTGGGCTGTAGACTGTGTCTCCAACAGCCTGCTACACGGAACAAATTCATTCCATGCTCTTTTCCCATATCATTAATATTATTAAATAACTTTTATGCTGCCCTGGATGTGTGTTCTGTGTTCTTCAGACCTTCAGAATTTGTGTGGGAAGCTGTATGAGTGTATGGTATAATGAAATTGCAGGTGCAATATCTGGTTTCGTGCATCTAGTAAAAAATATCTTTAAAAAAACTTGAAGCAAATTTTAACATTATCTCCTCTGACCTATCCCCCACACCCTCCCTACCGTCATCTATCTCTTGTGAGTGCCATTGAACAAATGGGTATTGATTCAGCTGGTGAAGACATTTTGCAGAAAGCAGCATTAAGCTCTACTCGGCAGCTTTTCCCCTCTTCTGGGAACAAACATTGCTCATGAGGAATGCTCATGAGAGCCAACTGGGGAAAAGTGTTTCTCTCACTTTTTCCTGAAAGTGGCAAAAAATCAAAATTGAAGCTTTTTTTTTCTCTTGCATGCTCTTCATACCTGGGTCCTCAAAACTGGAGCAATTCTTCTGAACTAGACAATAGCTGAGCAGAAAAACTTTAAAAAAAATTCACTCAAAACTTAATACAGCCTGGGGTTATTTTAACCTTTCCACAGCTTCTTCCATAATAGGGAACTTGAACTCTGGGAAGAGAAAAGGGGGGTTGGGAACCATCACTAGTGGAGGATGTCTGGGCATCAGAGGGGACCAACAGCTATTGCAGGTGGATCTGGCTTTGTGGTTCCTGGGGTCAGAACACGCCGTATCATATGACACTGTATCATATCAAAGGTAAATAATTGAACAGTTACCTTTTTCTGACGCTGAACTGCGTTAGAATCGGGAAAGGTGTGCACTCAAACGTCTTCTGTGTCCTCTTCACCGTAGGGCTTCTACTTAGATTATCACCTAACTACCCAACTCCCTGCTTAATATTTGAAGGAAGAGTACCTATATTCTTAGACTACATTGATTTAGGGTAGTGAGACCCAGTTTCCTCTCCTCCATGATGCCGTGGAACGGACTCAAGGACAATTTAGTGAGGGAAATCTTGTGAGAGCTCTCTCCACCAGGACTCCATGCTGCAGGTATTTTTCCCCCAAGCAAAGGAACAATTGGCCCCAGTGTTCTGGAAATCTCATTTTGCACCATAACCAAGACAAGTATTTGTTTTCCAGACAAGGTAGAAATTCATATTAAAGGAACACTATGAAAGCAGGTGAACAGTGGTGAATGGAAAAGAGTAACCTTCAGAATATATTGCTCTGCACCTCTTGATGCATCCCAAGTTTCTCAGTTATTCTTTTGTTCTACAAATAACATTAGAAACTGGGACATGATTTAATGTTGACAAAAGGTACACAAGTGTGTGTGATTTCTGTTTCCCACTTTGATCCCCATTACAGAAAAATGGGTCGCCAGTGTGTCAATAGTAGCTTAGGTCTGGTGTCAGTTAGGCAGCTAAAGGGAAAAAAAAGGGCCATTGATTGCTTTAGTGCTAGCCTGGGGCATCCACATATTAATTATTTGATTTCTATGGGCTAAATTCATGTCTAGTGAAATATCACTGACTTGATGAAACTACAATGTGGAGGAATCCAGCTACATGGATTTTGCCCTCTGTATTATGAATGGATATTTCAGTGTTAGTGGGTGCGTCTGCACAAGACATTTTAAGGCACATTAGCTTACATGTAAGGTGCATTAGGGTACATGTCTACATGTGTGCACCTTTAATACACTTTAAAAATGGTGAATTTCAGCTATTTGTGCCCAAATCTGATACCTGAAAATGCAGGTATTGAATTTAGGCACAAATAGTTAAAGCACATTAATGCTGTGTGTGGACTAACTTGGGGCTAATTTTAGTCCCAAGTCCACAAACAGCATTAATGTGTTTTAATGCCTGCACATGTAGACACCCATCTAAACCCGCTTAATGCATATTAAGCTAATACGTATTAAATTTAGGCATGCTTAAATGCATGCTTAGGTGCACTTAAATGCACATGGTCACTAAGAAATAATCTTGCTCCCATAAGTGAGTGAAGAAGTCAGCAGGCTGAACCGGATCCAGTTTGATATTAAAACAGGCCACTGCAGCAAAAGGAATCATTCTGAAATGCAGAAAAGGCCAAGTAATCAAAACCCCTTGAAGTTAAAAGATGGTATTATTGACAGAATTTTTCTAATTTTTACAAGCATATCTACCCTATGGTATATGAGTGCCTTCCACAGAAATTAAACACCAAAACAGCTCTCTGTCCCTGGTGGCAAGAATAAGCTTCAAGCAAGTGCTAGAATTTAATGTTCCAGTACAGATTACCTCTGTCCAATATGTTTCCTGTTATGTTTTATTCTGTAATTGTAGGGTAAATTGGTTGTTGCTTTGGGATGATATTATGCTTGAATTCCTAAGACAATTTAAGAGGCATTTGTCCAGAGATATTGTTTGTATTTGTCCTCTGTACAGGTATTAGAATTTGGGTGAACTGGGGCCAGGAATCAGGTATGTCCAACAGGAGCCAGGTGTTGGGTATGGATTTGGAGGGCACCGCTACATCAAGGTCTGGAGCCGTGGGTCCAGTTGGATTAGCTAAACTCCATTTAGGCAATGACATCTGAGGTCATGAGGCCAAATATGATCCATCTCTAACCTGCCCCCCTCCCCTGTACACACACACTTCTAAGTATTTGTGAAGCTTTTCTGCAAGGACATGCTAAGCACTTTGTGTCTAAGTGTAAGACTTTGTGTTGGCACCTTGTACTGGAGAGAAACCTGGAGTTATTCCAGAGCTTTCCGGCTGGACCACAAAGAGGTGGGGTTGGGGGTGGGAAGTTCACTTTTGGGCTGAGCAGTTCCTCCTGCATTCACAGCTACATCCTACAGGGTGTATGAGCCAGCAGTAGTTCCCAACCACTCAGGCACAGAGGAGCAGCAGCAGCAGCAGCCGCCAGGAGCTGGGCAGCAGCCAGCAACTAACTTTCCCAGGCAGACGGCTGCCCAGGCAAATGGAGAGGCAGAACCTGGAAGCAGGTTGGCTGCTGGGGTCCTTCTGGTCCTTACTCCTTGGTGCTCTGGTGGTCAGCACACTCAAGGGCCCCCAGCAGCTACTGGCTTTGGATTTGGGCTCTGAGAATGCCAGCTGGGAACCTGAGGAAGTCCCTGGTAATGAATCTTCAGAGCACACATTCTTCTCCCTGGATTATCAGCACGTCCAGGTCCCCTTTGAAATAACGCTCTGGATCATGCTAGCTTCTCTGGCCAAAATAGGTAAGGAGTCAACTTTCCTGTGGACAGGAAGAGGGGAGAGGCAAGAGTCAGGCTTTGGAGGGGGCTTAGCACAATTCCTTGCCGGTACTTCCGGGTACTTGTCTTCCACAGTCCCAGATCGGGGGGTGGGAGGGTGGGGGGTGAAGGTTTCCTTCCAGCTCAACCCCTTTATCCCAAGTTTGGCTGTTAATTCCTAAAATGCAGAGGCTCCCAGATTGTCCCATCTTGCTCAGTGCCTGAGTGAGAAGCAGCTCTGTTGGAAATCCCAGTGACAGACAAGCTCAATAGCAGACTGTTCTCTCAGAGAGTGAGAGGAGGGGATTCTTAATTATACATTTCAAATATTGGACTAGACAGAAAAGAATAGTTTCTTTCCTGCTCCAGCTGCCTGCCTTTACCTCATTGTAGCCTCAAGTTCTGGCCACTTGTAGACAAAAAACCAGGCTAGCTGTCTCCGAGGTTTCTCTGCACATATAAGACATTAAAAACATGTTTGCATATGAGAAAGTCCCCACCCAATTGTTTGTTACATCAAAGTACTGCAGCTGCAAATGGCAGAGTATGTTTTTAAGCTCTGTGTACGTTTAACATTATCAGGATTTGCAAATGTAATAGGGGAGAGGGGAGACTCCATGGTAGATAATGGGATTGCAAATTGACATATTAATCCTGAATTATTTGCAACTGCTCTAGACATATGACTCCTGAGATGTCAGTGGGCATTTAGAATGAAGAGCAAATCCTGGATCTGGCCAATTATGATGAATTATTTAGGTCTTAATCCTACAAAAATTTACACATTTACTTGTGAATGATCTCAATGCCTGCAGGAGCTGATTTTCATTTGGTCTAAATTTCCATAGACCTACTGTCCTTATGTTTTTATCAAGTCAAGTGCAGTGTGCGAAGCACATTCATGCATCTTTGTGCGGTTGGCAGAAGAAAGGGAATATGTTCAAGTTATGTATTGCATTCACCTTCTGGCCATTTGTGCTGCAGACATTTTTTTAAGCCTTAATTTATTTCTTTAGAAATATGAAATATCTGAGCTCTTGGTAGGCCTGTGTGAAGCGGCTAGTATTCACTTCGGATTCAGCCAATTCAGGGGACAGTGATTTGATTCGGTGATTCAAATCAGTGTCCCGATTCGATTCATCCAAATCTAATTCGGAGATTCGGCTGCTGCTGAATCTCCGAATCAGCCAGGCCAGGCCTATCCCACACCTGCTCTCCCAGCCCAGCAATGGCTGCCCTGCCCACCCCAGGTCCCAGCACTTGTTAAACTGGGCTTTTTATAAAAGTACCA